GGAGGCAAAAAAGCTTCACCTATAAGCCATAGGGTCAGCATCACAGTAACCAAAAGTTGTTGGGTGTTTAAAGACAAAACTCCCCCAGCAGATTTCTAAAGGAAGATTATGTTTATAAATTTCCTATTTCATGAAAATCATATAAACTACAAAATGATGACACACACTATATTGGCCAAAGTATTGGGACGCCGGCCTTTACACGCACATGAACTTTAATGGCATCCCAGTCTTAGTCCGTAGGGTTCAATATTGAGTTGGCTCCGCCCTTTGCCGCTATAACAGCTTCAACTCTTCTGGGAAGGCGTCCACAAGGTTTAGGGGTGTGTCTATGGGAATGTTTGACCATTTTTCCAGAAGCACATTTGTGAGGTCAGGTACTGATGTTGGAGGAGAAGGCCGGGCTCGCAGTCTCCGCTCTAATTCATCCCAAAGGTGTTCTATGGGGTTGAGGTCAGGACTCTGTGCAGGCCAGTCACGTTCCTCCATCCCAAACTCCCTCATCCATGTCTTTATGGACCTTGCTTTGTGTACTGGTGCGCAGTCATGTTGGAACAGGAAGGGGCCATCCCCAAATTGTTCCCACAAAGTTGGGAGCATGAAATTGTCCAAAATGTCTTGGTATGCTGATGCCTTAAGAGTTCCCTTCACTGGAACTAAGGGGCCAAGCCCCTGAAAAACAACTCCCCCCCCATAATCCCCCCTCCACCAAACTTTACACTTGGCACAATGCAGTCAGGCAAGTACCGTTCCCCTGGCAACTGCCAAACCCAGACACGTCCATCGGATTGCCAGACAGAGAAGCGTGATTCGTCACTCCAGAGAACACGTCTCCCCTTCTCTGGAGTTCAGTAGCGGCGTGCTTTACACCACTGCACCCGACGCTTTGCATTTTCCATGAAGCTCTCTACGCACTGTTGTTGCGCCAATCTGAAGGCCACACGAAGTTTGGAGGTCTGTAGATATTGACTCTGCAGACAGTTGGCGACTTCTGCGCCCTGTGCACTTCAGCATGCGCTGACTCCGCTCTGTCGTTTTACATGGCCTACTACTTCGTGGCTGAGTTGCTGTTGTTCCCAGTTGCTTCCACTTTGTTATAATAACACTAACAGGTGACCGTGGAATATTTAGTAGCAAGGAAATTTCTCGGAAAACCTGAATCCAATGATTTGGAGGAGTGTCCCAATACTTTTGGCAATATAGTGTATATAAAGCAAAGTATTAAACAAAAATAGTTCTCTGCACGTCCCTGCGGCTCCGTTCATCTGTGGCATCCATCAGAAATGGGGGGGGGGTTATGTGACCTCCCTCCAAGGTGCAGCGCTCAGGTCCTAGCCGCCAATCAACAGCCCTGAACAATGTCACCTGATGAGTGGGATGATGTCATCTGAGCTTACCCAGGGCTAGGAGTGTCAAACAATGGAGCAATGCGTGTCGCCATGCTGCAAATGGACAAAGTGACAGGTCCTCTTTAAAAACATATGACATGGATGTAATATTTCACTGCAGATCCCGAGACCCACCCCGGGGCACTGGTACTGGAAAGAAGACACCAAGACTCTGGAATTCTACTCTGGGAGTCATGCCTGTGACTGTCAGGGTCTTGCAATGCCTTTTGGGAATTGTAGTTCCAAAACTGGAGTGCCGAGGATGCCCACCCCTGTAATACGTTATTCTGAAAGGAAACCAATGTCATGTGATCATACATACTGGAGTGGCAGATAGAATTGGAATTATTTCCAGACATGCCGGGCAGTGCAGGAATTTACTAATCATCACAGCGATATAAATGTATTTATCCAGTTTTGCTTTTTCTATATAAAATTCCTGATCTACCCCGTATGTGTGAACTCCTGTGTGAGAGTCATGTAAGAGTCAGCTGCGGGCGGGGAGGAGGTGCTGTACTATACAATGACAGCTGCCATCACCCACAGTCATTTGCACCTGTCTATGGAGGAGTAGCACTGTTGCCCTATCAGAGGAAGTTAGTTGGGACTACAAAACCCTTTCCTCTCACATAGGGGAGGTGTGTCAAAATACAATACCCTGGCAGGGGTTTCCCCTATCCTGGCTGTGCAGTGTGGATGGGGGGAGAACCCCTGCCAGGGTATTTGACAGCCAATTAAGAGTTACATCAGACTTTAGGGGGGACTCCGCAGTGATAGTGAATGGCATGAGAGGTAAGTATTTGTGTCTCCTATACAGGGTCCCTTTAAATATGCTGCAAGAGCCAATATAACTTTCCTGTCGCTTCATGGCAGCACACAACGGGTTAAGGGGCGGAGAATTAACCCCTCGTGTGCTGCCATGAAGATGCGCCAAGAAAGGAAGATTACTGAAGGTGAGTACACAATCTTCCATTATTGATCTGCCAGAAAACTGATGGCCATATACCTATTGGTTTTAATTGTTGACACCCTCGGGCTGGAAGAGGAAAAAGGGGGCGTCATCAATTAAAACCGATCGGTATATGGCCACCGGATGTCTGGCAGATCAATAGTTATATTGGCACTTGCAGCAGATTTAAAGGGACCCTGTATAGGAGACACAATACTTACCTCTCCTGCCTTCCACTATCCCCCCTAAAGTCTGATGGCCATGACACGTCTGGGAGCGTCAATCTCCGTTATTCCCCGCAGAGTTCGCTGGTTCTTCCTGCTGGCCCATTAACCCCCTATATCCCAGAACACTCATCATCCTGTCCCTGTAGTAGTACAATGTTCTGTTCTACAAGCTGCAGCCAGAACAGCAGAGGATCTGCCAGGACACATGAGCCGCCTTGTATTATCCTCGGGTCTATTTGTCTGCAGTGACTGGGACATTGGGGAATTTTCAATGTGATATTATCTTGGCGCTGGGCTGTCTCAGCTGTATGCGTGTTGTATTTTCAGCAGCTTTAGCCTGCCCTGGGGAGACGCGCCAGACCACAAAAAGCCATATTTAAATGCTTGTCTCATCAGATGTTACAATAGGCGGCTGGGTGAGGTCCGGGGTCAGGCCCGGGATGGCATTTTGGGAACTCTGGCAGATGCCAGGACTGTTTGGGAGTTGTTAGGGATACATATACTTATTTATAGAGGAATATTTTGTCTGGGGCGGGATCACTGCGCTGTAACCTCAATAGGAATTGGATATACATGCAGGGGAATTGATCAAATTCTGGAGCATCTGCTTAGGGCAACCAATCAGCTTCTCTCTTCAATGAGCTGGACAGGTAGCTGAGGAGAGCATCAGAAGTCGCTAATTTGTTCCTGGCACGTTGTAGAACCGTGTATAATAGGAAGCTGGCATGGCGGTACTGGGTATGACTAATATACACTGCAGAACACATACTGCACTCCTCACTTCTTAGAGCTCTCCTACATACCACAGGCCTATCATTACCTTCTATGTCATTAGGTTTCCAGTATACCAAAATCCACAACTTTTATCTTCATTGTAGATACAGTATAGAAGGATAAACAGCCCCCTAAGGCAGGGGTTGCCAAACTACGGCCCTCCAGTTGTGGGGTGGAACTACAAATCCAATGAGGCATTGCAAGATTCTCACAGCCACAGACATGACTCCTGGAGAGAGATGCATCATGGGATTTGTAGTTTCACCACAGCTGGAGGGCTGGAGTTTGGCTACCCCTGCCCTAAGGGTTTTTTTCACACTGGTGTCCCTTTTGGGAGATTTCCCTTCACTTCCTGTCCTGTACACACAACAGGAAGTGAGATGAAGTCTCTCCAAAGTGAGAACTATTTCCTCTAGAATAAGTCTTCCTATTGGAAGATATGCACTTTATTCCTGTTCTGGTGACAGTTCTATCAATTTTGGTGACAATTGTCACTGAGACAAGAGTGGATTTCCCCAGCAATTAAAACCTGACCGGGGTACTCACCCCTCACTATTCTATCCAAATCCAAAATGTTTGGGCTTTAGATACACTTTTAGGCTTGACAAAATCTGCCGCCACAGGAGAGATATACTTTTCTTTAAAGCTGAACTCTGGCCTTCCCTTCGGTCTTGAACAATTGTACCGATTTCTCTCCTGGACTGAAATTTCTTACTCGGATTTCACTGCACACTGTGAACTTCTTACAATGTGTATCAGAAGCTGCAGTACATCAGACAGAGCCTGCCTAATTTGCTGGCTGGAGGATGTCCAGCATCATCTAGCACTTTCCTCCCCAGACTGACTGTCCCCTGCCCGTCGCATTCAATAATTGGATTTCAGTTCTTTCAGTCATGGAGGCTCAGCATCACCCCTAGACTAGTCTACATGAAAATTCAGCCTGCCAAGGAATGCCTACTCCTCCAAAGGAATGCCTACCCCTCCAGGCTGACACCTGCCCCTCAAGGCATTGTAGTAGTTGCATAACTCCAGTCCAGTGCTTGCATCACAGCTGCAGGCTCTTGAGATGAGTACTAAGGCAGGGTGCTGTGATGTTTTCAGGAAGCTATGTACAGCACCCGACTGACTCCTCCCACCAGCCAGGATCTGCCTGCATTGCGGAGAGACACATAGAGGGGAGTTTAGCAAAACTGGAGCAGACACAATCTGGAGCAGCTGTGCATGGCGACCAATCAGCAAACCTTTTATTTTCAAATCTTAACTGAGCAAAATGAAGAGAGAAGCTGAAAGAGACCCAGTGATGATGTCACTGGGTATAAAATAAGGTATGTATGTACAACAAAAGTTTTATTTACAAATGTCATTAGCATGTTGATGGGGGAATCGGCAACAGCAAAATCTCAGCAGATTCATCTTCAGCTTTCACACTTTCCATGAGCCTCAGCATCTAATAAAGTCCAGCTCCACCCAAAAGAGAGATCTAGGAATCCATCATGTGACTAAATGTGCCAATAACAACTAATAAATAAAACAAGAATGACAGTTGTGGGCGGAGCTTGTTTTTTTTAGCCCATGTGATATGGATTTGGATTTCACTTTGAGATCTCAAATAACTTCATCTGCACCGTCTATTTAAGAACCTCGAACGCATTGTTACGAAGGATGCCTGAACGCACAGAACTCGATAAAGTCACCAAGTCCCACCGGCTAGTGCGGATTCCAGACAACAGATGCGTCACCCTGGATGACGTCAAACGTAAGAAACATTTCCACGTCTACTATTTGCAGGCCGGTAGTAGGCCGCGGTGTCTGGCCTACACCACGATTTGATGTGACTTTCACATTTTACTGGTTTGCTGTTACATATTTCCATTCTGATATTCCATTTTCAGATTGGTAACTTTATGTTGAGGGTTCCGTGTCAAGAACCCAGCAGAAGGGTTTCAGCGCCAATAACAATTGTGACAAAACCGGTACCTCTGTATCCCCCTGGTTACCAACCTCCACTAAGCCTTACGCTGGACATACATGCATAGATTGTATTCATTCAGTGCTGAAGGACAGACCTCCCTCGCTGGACTATTGTATTCTGACAGCTGGTGTCCACCACTGATTGGCTGCAGTTACTGTTCAGCTGACAGTTTTCCACCCGGCTTCTTCAGCCAAGTCAAGCCGGTTGGTGCCGGCAGGGCCACCCGTAGCTCTCAATGTATCCGATTTATCAGGAGGCTCCATCAGATACATAGAACACTGGTTGGCCAACATGTGGCAAGAATCCTCCTGCAATTGGGATCACAGGTGGTCGTGAACAGCTTTGGATAGGAAGCCTGTACAAAGTAATGACAGGCTGACAGACACCGCAACTGTCCACCATTGCTGGCATGTACCCGCACATCCAACAGATACCTGCAGCTAGGGGCAGATGGCTGACTCTGGAGGCAGACATATCACTCCCATAGCTGGTCATCTTAGCCTTGGCAAAGGTAACTGCTGGATGTGCACATACATGCCAACAATGGTGGACAGCTGCGGCTAGGGGCAGATGGCTGACTCTGGAGGCAGACATATCACTCCCAGGGCTGGTCATCTTAGCCTTGGCAAAGGTAACCGATGGATACATGCGGATACATGCCAACAATGGCGGACAGCTGCAGCTAGGGGCATATAGAAAATGTTTGCTATGTGCCCTTGCGTTGAGCCTGTGATGATCTATGCAAATCAACGAAGCTCAAAGGACATGGTGTGACTGAGTCCTAACACATTTTGGGATTCCTGCCGCAAGAACCTACAGATTCCTGCAGCAGGAATCCCAGGCGTCCCGTTCAGATGCAGCCGCTGTACACATTGAAGTTAATGACAGGGTGACAGCGGCCACATCTGTAAGCCCCCACTGCTTTGCTTGCTAGCTGATGTAAAGTAACGCAGTATTTCAAGTTATGGAGAGCATGTCACGCACTATCCTTCTTTTATCCATTAAGATTGTTCAGGTGTTTTGAGAGCCAGTGGGGCCGACTAGCAAGATACTGAAGCTTGGCCCAGTGGGAGATTCCTCCACCCACACAGTTTAGCGTAGATGGAGGAGTCTGTTGCACTTTTTCCATCTGACCATAGAAAATCTGCAGATAATCTATAGGTGTATGGTCAGCTTTAGACATACACACTTTGGAGGTGGAAGGGAGTCCTCAGCCGTGTGTAAGCTCCAACTAGGAGCAACTCAGCTTACATAGGGTTTGACCTCCTCGCTCCCAGATCAGCAGTATTGTAAAGGGAAGAAAAGTATGTTCAGGTGCAGGAACCAGCTATGAAGTGAACCGGTTGCTTTTTGCACTGCCTTTTTAACAAGCCCTTATATGTATTACATTCAATTCAGTGGTGTAATTCATTTCCTTCCATTCCAGGTGTGGCTTTGAACATGCTGGAGGAGCAAGAAAGAATGTGCATAGCTTCATTTTCAGTGGCAGCAGGGTAAGCTCACAACATGCAGCTCATTCTGGTTGTACCTATACATACCCTTCATGGTGGTTATAAGTGTGAGAGATCTGCTTATACTCCTATTAGTTGCTGCATTCTCTCCCTGACTCAGCTATGAACAGATGCCGTGTACTTTTTAGAGAGACGGTAATTCCCATCCCTGTAGGTAAACTTGGCAGAGCTGACCAAGCATAATAAGCAAAGATTTGTCACCAGGTTGGAAGATCTCTGTATGACCAATTACACCTGTTTCAGATCTTCACCTTTCTTTTTGAGGTCTTGTAAGATCTCTACACCCCCCATATGCTGCATCCATCGGTTCACAAAATCTTTAAATTATGCCCAATAATTAAATTTGATTTAATTATTATGAAATTATTAGCAATCTGGGCCACAGCGTCTCAGGTTGCTAGGAGCAACCTGTGACTCTCTGTCCGGCTTCCCGCCCAGCTCACTGATGTCATGGGTTGCCAGGGAGCTGAGTGGGACACTCTTGCAGGCGTTCCACCAAGCTCCTGGCAACCAATGATGTCAGTGAGCTGGGCAGGACCAGACAGAGAGCAGGGGACAGCACAGTTCTATGTCCGTCTAACACAGCCCCCCCATCCCACTGCAGAGCGCCTCCCCCCAGCACTATCAGGACCACCCAGCAGACTCCCCGCAGCATCCACTGCCCCCCCCCAGCACTATCAGCAGCCCCCACTGCCACTCGTCAGCACTATCAGCAGCACCCACCGCCACCCCCCAGCACTATCCGTAGCACCCACTGCCCCCCCCAGCACTATCAGCAGCCCCCACTGCCACTCGTCAGCACTATCAGCAGCACCCACCGCCACCCCCCAGCACTATCCGTAGCACCCACTGCCCCCCCCAGCACTATCAGCAGCCCCCACTGCCACTCGTCAGCACTATCAGCAGCACCCACCGCCACCCCCCAGCACTATCCGTAGCACCCACTGCCCCCCCCAGCACTATCAGCAGCCCCCACTGCCACTCGTCAGCACTATCAGCAGCACCCACCGCCACCCCCCAGCACTATCCGTAGCACCCACTGCCCCCCCCAGCACTATCAGCAGCCCCCACTGCCACTCGTCAGCACTATCAGCAGCACCCACCGCCACCCCCCAGCACTATCCGTAGCACCCACTGCCCCCCCCAGCACTATCAGCAGCCCCCACTGCCACTCGTCAGCACTATCAGCAGCACCCACCGCCACCCCCCAGCACTATCCGTAGCACCCACTGCCCCCCCCAGCACTATCAGCAGCCCCCACTGCCACTCGTCAGCACTATCAGCAGCACCCACCGCCACCCCCCAGCACTATCCGTAGCACCCACTGCCCCCCCCAGCACTATCAGCAGCCCCCACTGCCACTCGTCAGCACTATCAGCAGCACCCACCGCCACCCCCCAGCACTATCCGTAGCACCCACTGCCCCCCCCAGCACTATCAGCAGCCCCCACTGCCACTCGTCAGCACTATCAGCAGCACCCACCGCCACCCCCCAGCACTATCCGTAGCACCCACTGCCCCCCCCAGCACTATCAGCAGCCCCCACTGCCACTCGTCAGCACTATCAGCAGCACCCACCGCCACCCCCCAGCACTATCCGTAGCACCCACTGCCCCCCCCAGCACTATCAGCAGCCCCCACTGCCACTCGTCAGCACTATCAGCAGCACCCACCGCCACCCCCCAGCACTATCCGTAGCACCCACTGCCCCCCCCAGCACTATCAGCAGCCCCCACTGCCACTCGTCAGCACTATCAGCAGCACCCACCGCCACCCCCCAGCACTATCCGTAGCACCCACTGCCCCCCCCAGCACTATCAGCAGCCCCCACTGCCACTCGTCAGCACTATCAGCAGCACCCACCGCCACCCCCCAGCACTATCCGTAGCACCCACTGCCCCCCCCAGCACTATCAGCAGCCCCCACTGCCACTCGTCAGCACTATCAGCAGCACCCACCGCCACCCCCCAGCACTATCCGTAGCACCCACTGCCCCCCCCAGCACTATCAGCAGCCCCCACTGCCACTCGTCAGCACTATCAGCAGCACCCACCGCCACCCCCCAGCACTATCAGCAGCATTCCAGACAAAATAAGAAATGCAGAATTTTTCTGGTCTGGTCTGGTCTGGAACGGACTGTGCTGGTGTGAACAGAGGCCAGAAATAGCATAGGGATACATTAGGATGTATTTTGGGTCAGGAAACAATCTGGTCTGGTCTGGTCTGTAGATGATCTGGCTGTGGTGTGAATGGGCACTATGTGATGAAGGGGTCTGTAGAGTGCAGTGGGGGACCATAAATCCGATGCGCCCAAAGATTTTGGATTCCGAAGAGTCTTCAGGCAGCAGTTTCTCTTTCTTACAACAGAGATTGGGAACAAGGTCAGCAGGAGTATCAACTATCATCTTTAGAGGCATGTGTTTATTTCATTGATTTATTTTAGCGAAAGAGGCACTTCATTCGATTCTCTCCCATGGTGGGATCATTTCTACTGCCTACAGATAACTAACATGTTCTTTGTTTATTTAGAAACCACCTTCTGAATGATTTCCTCATGGCTCTGCTGAATTACTTGTCCTGCTTTCTGGAGAAACATTCTGCCAAAAATCCAAAATCTTTGATGCCGTAAGTTCTGTTTTCTTTCCACAATGGAATCATTTAGATTTGGATCTGATAGAAAATTCCGTGCAGAGCTTATCAGTGGTAGTACCAAGCCCCTACATGAATCTACATTGAGTACCTGCCTGTATACCTCTTTATTACCAGGTCATTTGGCTACACCAGGCAGCCATAGCAGTAACGGCTGGTTACCAAATGTTATTGTGGCATTACATTGTTTTATTTAACCAAATTATGGTTTTATTTTGTCTTTTGTGACAATTATGTTATTCTCTATTCTGTAAAATGGTTACAATGATGTTATATTGTCTTCACATGCCAAATCAGTCGCTGACCATTTCTATTCTTTCCTCTCAACCCTACATTGACTCAAGGTATATCTGGACTGTTAAATGAAGTGTGGCGCTTCAGTTCTCAATCCTTCAATTGAGAATATGGCATTATTCTGTATTTTGTCAAATGTTTCCATTGGTAATATGGTGTTATTCTGATTGCATGTGTCAGAAACGTGTATAGAAACATAACCTCTTGGTACATAGTGGTGGCCTGAGTGTTGTCATCTGCCTCATCATTAACCAAGGATCTCGATCTCGGGGTATCCATTTTCTTTGGATGATTTCCTGCAGAGAAAATATAAAAAAGTTAAAATAAGAACTAGCCTAGGCATCCCCGCAATAGCAAATTGAGCTGCCAATTCACCTTCACCATCACCTCCTATCAAAATTACATTTTGATAGAAGGGGCATGAAGTTTGGCCCCCAATCATGTGATCAGCTATAACATGGTGAACGCATGGCTTTGTTTCTTTTAATGTCACTTTGCTGCAACGAAACTACGTCCACAAACGAAAATGCGTACAGACAACCGCTAAATTTTGTTTTTGGAAATTCGAATTCGCACCCTGTGATCTTGCTACCTTATCCCTGGCTGCGCTCTATTAAATGTCACTTTGCTGCAACGAAACTACGTCCACAAACGAAAATGCGTACAGACAACCGCTAAATTTTGTTTTTGGAAATTCGAATTCGCACCCTGTGATCTTGCTACCTTATCCCTGGCTGCGCTCTATTCCCACCCTGTGATCTTGCTACCTTATCCCTGGCTGCGCTCTATTCCCACCCTGTGATCTTGCTACCTTATCCCTGGCTGCGCTCTATTCCCACCCTGTGATCTTGCTACCTTATCCCTGGCTATGCCTTATTGCTACCCTGTGATTTGCTACCTTTTTTCATGGCTGTACTCCATTGCCACCCTGTACCTTTGCTACCTTATCTCTGACTATGCCTTTTTGCTACCCTGTGATCTTGCTACCTTATCCCTGGCTGTGCCCTATTGCCGCTGTGTGATCTTCCAGGCTGCTCTCGATATTTTAGCATTCTTCTGAGTATCTGGCCTCATTCAAAACAAGGACTGCAAAGTCAGCATGGACCGACCCTACAACACACATTGGAAGGAGCAAACCATTTCTAAGCCCAAGTTTGTATGGGATCATAGAGCTCACTCATAGCACTTTTCCTAGGTTAGGTCTTTGGCACAAGCTCCATCTTATACTTTCACAGTAATCTGTGACACAGCATTCAAAATACTTAGTTTATGTGAAACTGACCTTCACTCTTTTTTCCAGGAGAATGATTATCCTAGAGAAGAAGGAAGGGGCTGACCTGAAAATGAGAACAGACATTGCTCTGAAGCACTTTGCCCACATGTATTGTATGCTTGTTCTTGGAGAAGGAATAAGTGATCAGCATCACCTTGGCTGTGGGAAGTAAGTCACCTTTGTCTTTATATTTATACGCCAGTATCTTTATTTTTACTATTAATTTAAAAAACGGTTAAAACACAATTGACCCTTCAGGTCAAATCAGCTAAATACATCCCAGGGGAATCAAACAAAAGGTGTGCAAAGTCGTATATGACATTTTCTTTTGAAAGCAGCCATAGCCAGAGTAGAAAAGCCTATCCTCTGCCAGAAGCTGAAGTGAAGGCAAAGCAGTGGTCTCTCAGCAGAGGTCTGACAACCCCCTACTGAATCAGACCTATAGCACTGCAATCAGCGAACCTCATGATCCTTGCTGATTGGAGAGCTCTGGCTCTGACTCAGCTGGGTGTGTGTCAGTCCTCAACAGAGAGACCACTGCTTCTCCACACAGAGCAAGGGCACAGTATGCTGGCAGGAGACAAGCTTATCTACTGAGCCTTTGACTGATTTTTAAAGAACACAAACTTTAAGACTCTGCACACCTTTTGTTTTGATGCCCCTGAAATGTATTTAGCTGATTCAAACTGAAGGTCTAATGATGCCATAAACTGATTGTTTGTCCAGCTGCTGATTTCTCTTTTACTCAGATTAGACTGTGTCAAGTCCCCTGTAAAGGCGGCCATACACTATGCAAACTTTGGCTGGTTCTTGATGAACCGGCCAATATTCACACAGTGGGTGCCGCTGTTTGCATCCTTTCGGCCGGCATCCCTCGATCAGATGATCGAAGGAGCTGGTTGGAAAATCTTCGAACGATTGAACAATGAGCTGCCGACTCTGTTCTGGTATTTTGACAATAGCTGGCGGCTGTCCTCAGAATACAATGAAGTCAGCGGGAAATTCTCGATCAGCAATTGTAAGTGTTGATGGAGGAATCTGTTATATTTTCTTCCTTCAGCCCTCAGATTGAACGAAGAAAACATTACAGTGTATGGTCAACCTAAGTCATCCATTGACACTTGTTTCCATGGTCTAGTTTAAAATTTCCTAGTTTGTTGTGACTGGCCATCTTGGCTGACAGAAACCTAAAAAAGCCAATCATAAATCAAGGAGAGCCAGGCAAAGCACAGGTTCACTTTAAACCTGGCATGAGCAAAACACAGATGCTGCCACTCCTTCTAATTGTTAGTTTCCTGGCACTCAAGCTGGCTTTCAAGCTGCTCCACTTCAATTATTGGAGTCAATGACCTGGAACAAAGTATACAAATATCAAGTCATGACTTTTCTCCAACTCTCATGATCTGCAGATCAGCAATTCAAAATAACAAAGCCATTGGGCCACCATGACAGCCAGGTGACTAGCATCCTCAAAAGGAAGTTGGCAGTGGCAGTTCCTCATATTTCTTTCATCACAGGCTTGCTTTAGGCTTTGCCAACCACCTGCGTTCCATTTTGTGCATCCTATCCAGTATATAATCCATTGACTCAGTCTCATCATGCAATGTTCAGCCTTGGCAGAGCCCATCGCAGGTTGCTTTGCTTAGATGCTCATCGCTCAACAGTGTTTATTAACTATTTACATACTTGTCCTGCGGCCAACGAGGAGCATTTCAGGACAAGCGCCTGCTACTTTCTTTGTTCCCTGCTGAAAAGAGGCTTATTTAACTTGTCCCCACACCAGCAGGAACCTTCTCCAAAACCAGTTCCAGTCGGTTCACTTTTAAAAAGATCAGTTGGGTCTTTCGGTGAATAGATTTTACTCAGCACTTTAGGCAGACAAGTCCTAACAAAATACATTTTATAGGTATGTTACGTTGCTGAGCTGCTGTACTGTTTGCTTGCTTAGAAATTAAATATTTAGATATACAACCATCCCCTAAGGGTTGACAATGTACAATCATGAAGTACGAACAAATGCCAACAGCACATAAAGCCGTATGTAGCTTAATACACACAATTCTAGTATATCCAAAAGTTTCCTTCTACAGCTTTTTTATTTGTTTCTTTTATTAAAGCCCAGCTAAAGTCACATCTTTTTGTTTTATAGTCCTTTACGGCCATATGTTATGATTTTTAACTGATTCTTACTTGATTCTGCCTTATAATGTCCCTTTTTGTTGATGGAAATGCACTTCTCACCCTCCCACTCCAGTGCTCTATGGTGGAGTACATAAGTAACAACACACCTCTTATCTCAAGCATCCTCACAAGGAATAGTACCGAGGAAGAGAGGCACGTCTGACCAGGTCTGCTAGATTACAGAATGCACGAGGAAGTGTGGCCAAGCTCTGGTGACTTTTAGGGCTCAGGCACAGTAGTTCATGACCATATAACGTAAAATATGGCCGTATTTTCTCTGCTGGGAGTGGCAGATACAGCATACAGTGTGGTTATATCTCCTTCGCACACAATACAGATGATCCCCTTTTAGTTGGGTGCTGCAACAACTGGTGGATGGTGCCAGATTGTATTAATAAAGGACATGTCTGCACACCTTTAGCTTCACAATCTTGTATTTATTGATGTTCTTGCAGCATACATAACACTTTGCCTGATGAAGGGGAGCCTGCATGGTTCCGAAAAGCTGCAATCGTTCTCTATGCTGCAAGAGCATCAATAAAGATGAAATTCTGAAGCTAAAGGTGTGCGCACAACAAATCCTTTATTAATACGACATGGCGCCATCCACCAGTTGTTCCAGCATCCAGCTCAAAGGGGTACATTGGTATGGTGTGCAATGGAGATATCACCACACTGTAACATATTCTTTATAAATAGGTGCAGCATACAGCTACCACCGGTCATCTGTACAAATCGATGGCTGACGGCCACATGCATTTATAGTGTATGCATATATACGTGAATTCGAGTGGCTACATGTATACAGGGCCATATGCACCTCCCAAATGCAGACTGTCAGCGATGGGGAAGGCATATACAGCCCTGTATGTATGTAGCTGCTCAGATTTGTGTATAAATAACAGTGGCTGTACGCTGCACCTGTCACTCCCGGCATAGAAAATACAGTTGTATTGCACACTATACAGACATTTACTGCTGTGCGCATGAGCCCTTAGGCTGCGTAGTCGACTATATTTAGACACACTGTGCATCTGAGACAAAATGAAAAATGCAATTAAGACTATAAAAACTGGTTGTCAGTACAGTGTCTATACAATTAAATATGTATTTCTGAGACATCAGATGAGCTGATATGAAAACACCGCAATGCACGGTATTGTGGTACAGCATGTTGTAGAACACGGCGGCCGTGAAGTTAGTTTGCGTGATTTAAATGAATGGCAACACCATGCACATTGCGTACGGTAACATACACTGGGTGCGCCATGCGATAGTGTGTTTGAATTGCACAGTATCGTGCGATTAACGCAATGCTATGATGTGAATGGGACCTGCAATCTGTTTATCCTGAAAGATGAAAGTTGTAATTAGGCTTGTCATGAGTGTACTCTGAATGCTGATGGGTAGGAAAGGGAGGCAGTTAAATGGCTTACATGATGTAGGAAGATCAGAGTCCAGTGTGGTTTGCCTATTAGCAAACAGGACAGGAGGCGGGGCAGTGGCACAAAGCCATCACAATTGCATCCTTTGACACATGGGGTCACCCTTTTTATTCTGCGCAGCAAATGAGGAGGATCATGAAGCATAAGCTGTACATTACTTTACAAATACTTGATATGTTTAAGCAGGTAAAGCTTTTACTATATACAGTACTGTATATGTCTCACAACTGTATATTTGGCTGTTTGGCTGTGGTTGCCACTTATAGGTCACAAAACAGAAATTGTGAAAGTAATAAAAAATACAAGTCAATTCAAGAAGAACTGAAGCCCAAACTTGTATCTTATGTTTGGATAATCCCTGTCAGATTTTTTTTGCCATCTGTCCGGTTGGAGAGATTTCCCTTAATTTCCTGTCTGATAGCCACAACAGGAAGTGAGAGGAAATCCCTGGTGGTCAGCAGGGTCACCAGAACTAATGTCCCCATTGGAATATTTCCCATCTATGAAGACAAACCAAAATATGATATTGTCTTTCACTTTCAGTGATAACGGTCACCAGGACAAATTGGGTGAATCTCTCTAACGGGGAGAACGTGGCTTCTGTTGCACTTTACTGATCTTTCAGGCCAGTATAAGTAGCTCACGGGATGATTGTTGCTTTATACGAATATTACACACTCCAACACTGTCTTTATTTCAAGTATCCCAGAAATGTTTCAATCGTGAGAGAATGTATTAAAATCTATTTTACATAAACAAAGTTTAATTTATCTTTAATGACCATCCAAAACTAACTTTGAATTGGTGAAGTGGTAAATGTTACTATATTTGTTCCATATATATCCATTTATTAACTTATTGTAAGAAAAGATGTAACTAGGATGAAAAGCATGAAATGTATTCGTTATTTTTATCTTGTATTTGTTTTATTTGAATGTGTCACTCTCTGAAAATAAAATCTCATCTTATATTTTTATTTGATATCGTTATCACAGTAGCAGAGCATCATCGACCCAGCAGGATCGCATATTTTATGAGGTAACAGAACATGATGAAGGGCCTGTTCACACATAATGCAGCGACCTGCATTGTACTGCACTGGATCAATGAATGTCACTGCAAGGAGTCACAGAAAACAAATGTGTGATTTGGTGCCTTAAAAACCCTTTTTTCCATTTTTGTACATACTTACGAATTTAGGTTGTGACACCATTGGACAGAGGTATCACCAATGACCCTGACCTGTTCCCAGAAGCTTCTCAGTTTCTGTCTGAACTCCTCCATACAAGTTGGAACCCCCCTCTTTCCCACTCGGAACCCTGACTTGTACCCCCCCGAATCACCATACTCCTCCTAACCCTGGCTTGGCTGTTTTTGTCTGTCCCCAATATGAACCTTGACCTAATTAACCTTTTTTCCCATTCCCCTCTCTGCTCTGACCAGTCTCTGTACACTGACCTTACTTCCCTTCCATACCCCTCTGTACACTGACCTTCCCCTCCATACCCCTATGTACACTGACCTTCCCCTCCATACCCCTATGTACACTGACCTTCCTCTCCATACCCCTCTCTACACTGACCTTCCCCTCTATACCCCTCTGCACACTGACCTGCCCTCGCCTTCATACCCCTAAGTACACTGACCTGCCTTCCCCTCCATACCCCTCTGTACCCTTACGTTTCTTTTCCTTCATACCCCTCTGTACCTTAGTTACATAGTTATATGAAATATAATAGAGATATGAAAAAAAAAAAAGCCTAAACAGAACACTATGCCCACAATTAGCCACTGTTGATCCAGAGGAAGGCAAAATAACCCCATAAAGAATGGTTCAATTTGCTCCAACAGGGGGAAAAAACTTCCTTCCTGATCCCATAAGGCAATCGGATATTCCCTGGATCAACAATAGGAGATGAGTTTAACACGGAGGGGTACTATGAACTCTGTCCTGTATATTCTCCCCCAAAAATTGTCATGCGGCACTAGAGTGTTCGGGTTTTGCTTGAAGAAAAGGTGGAAACACTAACTATGACGTAACCAAAATGTAAAAGCGATTACAAAAAATTGAACTGCAGCTTTATTCTGTACAATCTTATCAATAAAATGAAGCAACAGTTATGTTTGGGCTCACCACTCCCTAGTCCCAAGAGCAGTCACACCTTCTCTACTCCTTAATGGTCCAACCTACAGTAGACACCCCTATTCAGCTCACCAGGGCTTTTGGTGATGGAAATGGAGCACAGAATTGCCATTTTCTTCCATTTTCCTGACATAACCTTTTTCCATATCAGCTTCTAGCAGGAAAAGATAAATGTTTCCATGAGTGCCATAAGCATGTTATTACACCCAGGTTGGCGGTGTCCCAATGTGCAAATTATTAATTTGGTTATAAACAAAGCTTTGATGGTTTTTGGCTCACTCCGTGTTCTGTTCTGCTTCCTCTACTATTGTTCTGTTTATGTCAGCTTTTGTATGTCAGTCTGCATGCCTAAACCGTTGTTAAAGGATTAAAGGGACAGTATTACAACAAAACATTTCAGTACAACGCCTAAGATATACACTATGATAACATTGCAAAATACCTTTATATTTTCCCAGGTGGGAAGAGTTAAAGGAAGAGAGGTAGAATTCATATATTGCAGTAGGACAGTGTCGGGCACCCGATTGCAAATGCGGGAATTTGGTAATGGTTTCCTGGCAGAATGAAAGGGAGGAACTGGTTAATATAACAGACCATGTAAGATAATTCTTCCCTTAGAGCACCTATAGACATGACCATGATTTGATATCTGTGTGTGACCCACCCGAGCCAGCTGCCCTCCTGCAGGTATGGGGAACAGAAGGTCTTCTCATCATGCATGTCCTGACACCAAACTGCATGATCTTGGTGTAAGCAACAATCTGGGAGGGAAAAATGATGGGTGTTTAGCAGGATGCACCGATACCATTTTTTCTAGGCTGATACTGATACTTTTCCTGAAGTACTTGCCGATACCTTTTTGTTTCGTGTAATGTGACAGTTTTTCTAAAACAATACAGACTAATGATTTGAGGACAGCAGTAGAGTGTCAGGGCCCAGTCGCAGATGCGACCGCTGAGACCCTGGTAGTTCTGCCACTGACTCCAAGCTGTAGATGCACTATCACCAACTAGAGAGGACTAAAAATCCCAGCAATACATTATACATCAATGCAGAATAAGACCATCAGCTATAGAGGACTACAAATCCCAGCAATACATTATATAGGAATGCAGAATAATATGAAGCCAGATACTCTGTGTTGCTTACCAGAGCTGTTCAGGGTCTCAGGAGGCTGTACGGGGTCTAATCAGGGCTCTGCAGTCTCACTAGGGCTGTGCGGTCGCACCAGGGCTGTGTGTTGCGTCTCACCAGGGCTGTGTGCTGCGTCTCACCAGGGCTGTGTGCGGCATTCCACAATGGCTGTGTGCGGCATCCCACAAGGGCTGTGTGCGGTATCCCACAAGGGCTGTGTGCGGCATCCCACAAGGGCTGTGTGCGGCATCCCACAAGGGCTGTGTGCGGCATCCCACAAGGGCTGTGTGCGGCATCCCACAAGCGATGTGTGCGGCATCCCACAAGAGCTGTGTGCGGCATCCCACAAGGGCTGTGTACGGCATCTCACAAGAGCTGTGTGCGGCATCTCACAAGGGCTGTGTGCGGCATCTCACAAGGGCTGTGTGCGGCATCTCACAAGGGCTGTGTGCGGCATCTCACAAGGGCTGTGTGCGCCATCTCACAAGGGCTGTGTGCGCCATCTCACAAGGGCTGTGTGCGCCATCTCACAAGGGCTTTGTGCGGCATCTCACAAGGGCTGTGTGCGCCATCTCACAAGTGCTGTGTACGGCCGGTGTGGGCGGCGGGAAGGAGGAGGAGTAGATGTGCAGCCAGCGATCTAAACAGCCACTGCAAGGTCCCCACAAGGCTGCCGCGAGGTCCCCAGCAAGTGCGGGACGTTACAGCAGCCAAATGTATTACAAAATGTAAAGCGCTGGTATCTGTAGAATCGTCAATAAATGCAGAGACTGTCTTCTCCGTGAGCCAAGATAACTGGAAGCTCTCATAAATAAAGCATATGTCCCAAATTTGAGTAAAGAAGAAGCTACTAGGTTGAGTATAATGCTTATGTAATGACATCACTTGTAGGCTTTGGGAAGCAGACAAGATAATTCTTGATCATTAGGTGAATCTCACTATGACCGATATATAAAAATATACAATACCTGACAGTGATTTATTTCTTTGCAGAGTCTGTACAACTACTCAATGAAGGTCGCTTGGGTAGTTTTCCGCCACAAGGAGCTGACTTTAATACAGGAAGAGGTTGGCAGGCTTCTGCGTTCCAACACATTTAATCCTGCCCTGAGGAAGAGAGATGCCCCTTCGGAGCCAGGCAAAAGCTTGTCTGGGGAGAAGACATTTAGGAAGGCGGCTACATATGCAAAAAACAGGTAAAATGTACAATGATACTGCGGAATTGTGTGTACAATCTCCTGCACTGCTATGTGTTTGGAATAGAAACACCAACCTGTCAATGTCAGTTTCAGCCATGGGGGGGAGGGGGGGCATTTTGCAGTTCTTAGACAAGATAATTCTTGATCATTAGGTGAATCTCACTATGACCGATATATAAAAATATACAATACCTGACAGTGATTTATTTCTTTGCAGAGTCTGTACAACTACTCAATGAAGGTCGCTTGGGTAGTTTTCCGCCACAAGGAGCTGACTTTAATACAGGAAGAGGTTGGCAGGCTTCTGCGTTCCAACACATTTAATCCTGCCCTGAGGAAGAGAGATGCCCCTTCGGAGCCAGGCAAAAGCTTGTCTGGGGAGAAGACATTTAGGAAGGCGGCTACATATGCAAAAAACAGGTAAAATGTACAATGATACTGCGGAATTGTGTGTACAATCTCCTGCACTGCTATGTGTTTGGAATAGAAACACCAACCTGTCAATGTCAGTTTCAGCCATGGGGGGGAGGGGGGGCATTTTGCAGTTCTTAGAAAACTCAGGGCTGATAGCATTGTTTGAGATTTCAGCCAGTATTGTCAGGTCACTACAGGAAGTTATGAGCTCACTAGATTTCTGGCAGGATCAATAGGTATTTTTTTGCGTTATCAAACAGCTATTATAAACACTTTCAATTGTATATTTAAGAGACATAAAGGGAGTAAATAAGAAAGGTTCATTGTTGGATCTCACCAGGGCTGCTTTGGGTCTCACCAGGGCTGCTTGTGGGTGCGGGGCTATACAGGGCTCTGCAGGTGGGTGCCGGGCTCTCCAGGGCTGAATGTGTGGGTGCTGGGCTCGTGCTGGGTTCCAGGGCTGTATTTGAGGCATGGGGCTGTCCACTGCTGTGCCTGTCTCTGCGGGTGCCGGGAAGGAGGAGATGTGGGGCCAGACCGGCACTGTCAAAGACAGCTACAGCGAGGTCACCCTGCAGGCTGTCTGAGGTCCCTAGAAAGCACGGGACCTCATGCAGCCGAACTTGTTTAAAAATGGAAAGGGCCAGATACAAGTACTCGTGAAAATGCCCAGCATCGGCCCCGATACTGATACTAGTATCGGTATCAAGACATCCCTAGTTCATTGTTAGGGTTTACATACCCTTTAACTCATGCACGAGAAGGGCCTCCTTCCATGTATGCCAGCAGCCATTTTGGAAAAACAGAATCCTGAATAGATGCAGGTTCTTGTCAAATGTGGTACCCTGGCCATCTTAAGCTGGTCACACACTGCTCAGAGTCCTGCTGACTTGAGCAGTGTGTGGCCCTATCGGCACCCCCTGTTCAATAGAAGTGACTTTTGTGGGCTGAAAATTCTCAACAGAACAGTGACTGCATGGCAATCAGATGCAGATTCAGGTATTACAATAGCCCGGGAGATTCCCCCATCCATGCTGTTTAGCGTGGCTTGGGAAATCGAGTTTTTTTGGATAGTTTCTGGACAAGACTGTACCCAATTAGCCAGTAAAACTGGTGTAGACAATTGGTTCATGTGGGAAATTATAATGGTCCAAGTAAAGGTGGCCATACACTTTATGGCCGCAATGCTGAACGGGCAGTGTGCGCGTGCGCACACCGGCCTGTTCGGCATTTGTCTCCCGAGCACCGTTCAAACCAGCCTAAAATGGTACGATTTTCGGCTGGTTTTCTAGCATGCTCCTTAGACAAAAGACGTGCGACCGTACAGTAGAAACGGTCGCACGTCTTCGTTCACACTGCTCGATTCTCGTACGAATCGAGCAGTGTATGGGCACCTTTATGCTCAGACATTGCAGAGGTGTAAGCGGTGCTCCATCACCAAGATTGGGAAACACTGTTCTAATAAAACAAATATCAACCATCCAACTTTTTATACTCATTCTGTACTAACCATCTTTGTTATTGTGCAACACAAGGATTCAAGCCAAGCGGCCTGCTATTCATGATATCGTCACACAGCGTTCTCCAGCTCTCACTTCCCTCATCCCATCTCCCAAAGAGAAAGCTCAATATTTATTCCAGCAACACCAGCTTCACCCAAAAGGCAATGCTGAGACCATCGACGTCACCAACTGGCTGGAATCCTCTACCGCCATCAGCACAACACGGTGAGTGCTATTGTATTGCAGCCTCTCCCTGAATACACTGGACCGGCTCCAAACCAACTCACACAAAGCACAATCAGTTCCAAAATTATTTATTTTGCCACACCCAGCTTCTTTTAAGTCTTTCTACACATAATTTTTTTCAATCATTTTGGCAGATCTGTTTTCTACAACTTTTCTGATTTCCCACAATTCTACCAAATAAAATTAAAAATCCAAAGAATATTCTACAAGCCTGTACTGTACTAGGGTTTCAGTCTGCTGGGTGAAGACGTAATTTTGGGATATGATTGTTTAAAGCGACCAGCAACACTCAAATTAAGATCTCTGTTTTCTTGAAAGGCTTCAACAAAGCTGCTCAAAGCTTGTCAAAAGCGTTACAAAATGTGCTGTACATGCTGCTCGTATATAAGCTGCAGACAGGTGAACGCGGCCTTTCTTTAATAGGGATGAGCAGGGGCGTCCTGAGGCCTGGTGGCACATGGAGCAGATACCTGGTGACACCCTGACGCGACGTCATCGCACATGTGCGTGATGTCACCACATGCATGCGCGATGACATCATCGTGCATGCACGGCCATCTTATTGATACCTGCCGGCGGCCATCTCGGTGATGGACGCTGGCAGAGAGAGGAGGGGACGTGCACCCGGCAGGATAAGGTATGCCGCCGGGTCCCCTCCTCTCTCCTGAAACTGTCGGGCTCTCGGGCCCATGAACGAGTGTCCGACTTTTCAGAGGGGGTGACACCAAAATGACTGTCAGTTAATTTGGTGTCAACCCTCCAATGGTGTCACCCAGATGCTGGTCCCACCCCCCACACCTCCCTTGTGACGCCACTGGAGATAAGCTCAGGTTTGGACCGAACCGAGCTCCTGCAATCCTAAAAGGAAACTTCTTTCCGCTGCCATCCAATCAGCTGTGGCCGGGGAATTCCCTGCACGCAGCTGCACTTGAGAAAAGGGGTGGGATGCAGTGACATAATTGACCTTATATGGCTACATGGCTATATTAGGTAAATGTTATTTGCTTAATAAGGCCATGTAGCCCTGTAAGGTAAATTATGTCAGCACAAGCATCCCACCCCCTTGTCTATGATCAGCAGTGGGCAGCGAATGCCCCTAGCTGCAGCTGAATGGGTGGGAGGGCCATGTAACTCGCGTGTTCAGAGGACCTCAGGTTCAGACCAGGCAATGTTCAAACTTGAGCTCATCCCTATTATTTACAAGGCATTTCAGATGGAAATGGTTATTTTAAAGGGCCAGTGACCCTAAAATAGGCAAATAATAATAATGATTTTATTTCTGTAAATTATTTATTTTCCAAGACACAAAACACTCCTGTTATAGAGTAAGAACATAATCTTTAATTCAATATTTAAGATTCAGCATAGTGATTACTTCCACCACTAAAACATTATCTAAGTGCAAATATAAATCATTGTTGAAGTAAAAAAGCCGTTTATAATAAATGTAACCGGAGTTTTCATTCTACCTGTATCTCTAAAGCGGATCTAATGAACGCGTTCTGAGACTCGGACATCTTAAAGGAGAACTATGAGGTGAGTGCTTTCACTCACCTCATAGTTCTAGCCGACCTGTGACACTGAGACTGTCACAGGTCGGCTCAGTAGATCGGGGAGACTGGCGCTGACTGGCGGATCGGACGAGGGAGGGGGCGGGTACAGCTCTAGATAGGCAGAGCCAGCTGTCACTCACGCAGCTGGGCAGATCCAGACATAATTGTCGGGATCTGCTTCAGCTGCGGCGACTCAGTATACTGCGAGCAGTAGCTTGCGGTATACTGAGCTTAGGGTGACGGGAGGACGCTAGTTTGTGTCCTCCCGTTACCCTAAGGAGAACTATGGGGAAAAACCCTAACCCCATAGTTCTCCTTTAATAACTATATAGTGGAGGCACATTTTATAATGCAAGGTAAACGGAGATGATTACCTATAGAGCTGGGGCACGGAGGTTGGCTGATGAACATCTCATAGGAAAATCGCTTTAGGCCTTATGCACATGGACGCTTGAGAATCATTCACGTTTTATTCGTGTGTATTGCCCCACCCTGGAAGCCACAGGTGCTGCATAGAGCCGTCCATAGACATCAGTGGCTGTATGGTGGGTATGAGCCGGTACTTTTGTAAACTCTTGCATGCTTACGAATGTATACCGATTGCAGACAGTCTGTGTTCAGGGCATACATTCATACACGTGTACAGGTTTTCAAGTACCGTACCAATTTATACCCATCTTACAGCCTATGGGCAGCTGTATGCAACACCTATGGCTTCCCAGTCAGGAAAATACACCCAAATTTTTGCATGAACGGCCCCCGTGCGGCCATATGCATGAGGCCTTATATTGCAGCTGCATTCATTTTCTTTTTTTAATGCTTTTTTCTTATTTTTTACCTGCTGCTGCTGCCAGTACATCCCTAGTTTTAGCATAGCTGCAGCATTTTCTGGGTAGTATCAATAACTTATTATTTTTACTTGTTCCCTGCTCTTTAATACATTCTTTTTCTATACCCCAACCTTAATTTGTATGCTGGCACTTTAACAGGGAAATATTTGCTGATAAGCACAAACATGTTGAAATATGTTCTGGAAGTCAGGTCTCGGGGTGATTTGTGAGCTTGTCGGAAACATGATGTGACAAGATATTGTCTCAGCTCACATCACCTGTTGTATCTTTTCAAACAGGATCGGGATACTGGGAGAACCGCTGAAAATGTTCAACCGTCACAGCCTACTGCCTATAGGAGCTGAGGAAGAGGAAGAGCAAGAGATACACGAGAAGACGTCCTTCCATTCTCACGGACAGTCTGGTCATCACTCTCCCGTCCGCCCTGCCACTGGCCGTCAGAGCCTGGTCATTTCTAGAGCTACCACTGAGGCCGCGTACTCTGACACTGACTAAGAACTGCTATTGTGACCTACATAAGCATCAGCCAGGGACTAGTGATTATTACATGGTTGATGTTTACTGGACGGTTGAGTTAACACACTGGGAACATTATCACCTATTAACCAAAAAGAAACCATTACAGGATATACATATAGCCACCACACTCTATTTGTAAAGTAAATGTCCAAGTGCTCATCCACAAAAATATCCATACAAATCCAAAGCAGGTATACTTATAGAGGCATTTGGTGGAAATTGGAATTGCCCTTCAAGAGTTTACTTCTGTTTGAAGACCTCTGAGTGCCTACCGAACTTTCGCTATACTACCGCTACCGTCTGGAGCATCCAGGCAGGTTTTTCTGGACTGTGTGCTGGTACCAATTTTCTACATATATAATAATATAGATATATATATCTCAAATAAAAAAACATGAAAAAATGTCAAATAGATTTATGCAGCTGATTTCATTTTATACTTTGGTTACAGTTACTGTGTACTCTTCATATATAACTAGTGGCTGTTCAGATGTAACTATGTTTCTTCATAGTGGTAGCCAAAGGTCATGCTGTGCCTGCCACAAGATCAATGATGGGCCCTTCCAGCACTTTGCATACATGACTTCACTGCTGGCAGCAACAGGCCGTCTGTTCACTGACAACCACAAGTCTACATCTTCAGAGCCCCATCCAAGGGTAACAGCAATGAAGATCACCAGCACTCACAGGATGAAGTGAATCCTTGTGTTATTATTGAGGAATCATGTCACATATATTGCATAACCAACGTTTCGGAACCAGCAGGGTCCCTTCATCAGGGCCAACATAGTACAGTGGTACCTCGGTTCACGAACTTAATTCATTCCACGATTCTGGTCGCGAACCAAATCAAACTGTGATCAGACCGTGATCTTGACTAGAGGAAGCCACGACCATGTGTCAGAGCGGGGAAGATGGCTGTGGTTGTGTTGGTCACCCGATATGGAGTTCGTGAACAGAAGCAAAATTCTGCCAAACTTCCTGTTCGCGAATCGAATTGTTCGCGAACAGAAGCGTTCGTGAACTGAGGTACCACTGTACTTACCATGTTTATAATTATACTATTTCAAGCACAGGTCCTGACTGCTGCACGGTGTGCAGGGGACATCTTTGGTTACCCGTGAAACATAGCACAATGCATCATTGTGTGACACTGACCGTTCTACTGTGACACCTGTTGTGCCTGCTGGAGGATTGAAGGTTTTTCTGGTGCAAAAATCCTGTGTAATAAAAAAAAGTTAGGAGTTCGGTGTTCTGAATCACATAGAGCAAAGCTGGGAACCTTTTGTATGTATGTAATGGGGGGATTCTACTCTGACCACCAATGTAATGGGGGATACTCTGCACTGACCACCAATGTAAGGGGGATTTACACTGACCACCAATGTAATGGGGATAATCTCCACTGACCACCAATGTAATGGGGTCCTTACACTGACCACCACTGTAAAGGAGGCATTCACATTGACTGCCAATGCAATGGGGGCATCTCCACTGACCACCAATGTAACAGTGAATATACACTGACCACTAGTGCAATGAATGGATTTTACACTGACTGCCAATGTAACAGGAACATTTACACTGACCACCAATATAAAGGGGACATTTAAACTGACCAGCTGTGGAATGAGGTTTTCTTTACAGTGACTGCCAACGTAAAGGGGATATTTACAATGACCGCCAATATAAAGGGGACATTTACACTGAATGCCAATGTAACAGAAGCATTTATATTGACTGTCAATGTAACAGATACATTTACACTGACCACCAATGTAATTGAGACCATTACACTGACCAGCCATGAAACAATGATATTTATATTGACCCTCTGCACTCCCACCCCCTCTCTGCATCTCTCCCCTTTTCATTCTGAATCCCAGCCCCTTATTTGCCCTTGCACCCTAAACTTCCCCTTCACGCAACCTCTCTACCTCCCCAACCTTCATACTTCAAAGGTAACCCCCTCTCTACTCACCTCTGCTGCAGCACACTTACCTGGTTTGCTTTGGCAGTCAAACAAGCTTGTCCCAGTTTGGTCACATCCCCACATGGGCAAATTCAGGACAGTTAGCAAGTATGCATTCAGAAAACCCATGCAGCCCTTTGTTGAAGCAATATATACTGAGTTGGCTAGAACCAGATCTTGTGGAGGTCTATTCCATATTTTCACAACTCTTTCTGCAAATAACTCTTTCTGTATATGCAGGATTTACTTCTTATCTTCCAGGCCAGTCCCCCCTTGTCTTTTACAATGGCCTTTAGCCTACCCGGCAGGTAAATCGCTAAATACACAGTTGATATACCTATAAGGTAACTTGTTTTCACTGCAAAAGGGCTGAACAGTGAAAGGAGAAGCAGCAGACTGATGAGTCTTCTTTAGTATGAAAAATTACATGTACAATTCTTTTAAAAACAATCATTAGGATACAGAGGGTGACCTTTAGCAAGCAAATTAGTGATACAATGAATGACAAATCTGGCTGCGTCTAGTTCAGCAAAGTCTCCACGACAGGTTTACAGTCCCGTCTGTATTCCTGGGCAGCCAAGAACAACCTAAGTTCTTACATATACTGACTGAAAAAAAGAGATTTTCACTGCAAACCAGGAGTAGGCAACCTTGGCAATCAATCTATTGTGAAATTACTAATCCCAATCATACTTCTGCCTTTGGGAATCATGTCTATGACTGCCAGTCTTGCAATGCCTCATGGGACTTGTAGTTCAACAACAGTTGGAGTGCCGAGGTTGCCTATCCCCGCATATAAAATTAGTGGTCGGGGTCAAGTTTTATTTTTACATACTTTAGAGCAGCCGAGGGAGGAATTTATTGTGCTGTAAACTTGTAGTAAACCTGTTGCACGATCTGTCTTGCCGCTCTTGTTTAGCATTGTCTTGCCATGCAACAGAAATGATAAATATCCCCCGGTGATATTTATCTTGATCGTGTTATATTACAAGTCATCTTTTTAAGGAATGCTGGTAGTACTGTACATAAACCACTAGAGGGAGCATTCATTACAAGTATGGAAGCACAAGTATTGATTGCCATGTTGTGGGGACATCTAGTGGTGAACATTGAGTATGATCTCTGGGGTGCAGCTAATGGTAATAAAGGCAGGATTTTGGATGTTTGTACAGTGAGAGTTATGAGTAAGGCAGTGACGGACCTAAGGAACCAAGGGCCCTGGTGCAAGATTTTTTTTGCCCCACCCCCAGCTCTTACAAAGCCTGGACTAGCCACCTGAGAGCCTCACTGACCACCTGAGAGCCTCACTGACCACCTGAGAGACCGCACTGGCCACCTGAGAGACGGCACTGGACACCTAAGAGATTACGCTGGTCACCTGAGAGCTCACACTGGCCACCTAAAAGCCGCACTGGCCATCTGAGATTCCGAACTGGCCACCTGAGAGTCCGAACTGGCAACCTAAGAGCCCCATTGGCCACCTGATAGCACCACGGACCACCTGAAAGCCAGAACTGGCCACCTGAGAGCCCCACTGACCATCTAAGAGCCTGCACTACCCACCTCAGAGCCCCACGGGCCACCTGAGAGCCCCACTGACCATCCGAGAGCAAGAAATAAGCTCAGGGCTCCCACTGATTCTGCATTATGGGGAGTTGTATAATTATATATTACAATGTAATACAGAGCATCTACATTGTTTTGTTTCCGCAATACTGACGCAGGATACCTTTACCTGTTGACTAAGAGCCGTCCAACACCAGCCATGTCACACCTTCCACAGTCTGTCACCTAGGCTTCACATTTGGAATGTGCTTGATACATACTATTGTTTGGTATTGAATGTTACATGAGGCTAGATCACTGTTCTTACCCTGTTACAAATCAGATCTCCTTCTACAGGCTGCAAGGGTCCAAGGGCCATACAATTTTTGGCTCTCAGGTTGTAGGCTGGGCGCCATGATTTAAAGCAGGGGTGCCCATTTGGTCGATCGCGATCTACCAGCCGATTGCAAAGCAAACACTGGTAGATCGTGATCCACTCACTGACTAATGTGCCTGAGTTCCAGGTGTGGGCGATCGCACTACAGGTGGGGAGCGTGGCTGCGGTGCCATTGACTTCAATGCACCACCACGCCCCCTCCCACCCCTGAACGCAAGGAGCTGGCCGGCTTGTGTTCCAGAGGCCGAACGCTCTGGAACGCAGATTTTGTGGTGTGAACCGGCCCACAGAGAGACCGCAGAGAGAGAGAGATATAGGGGAGAGAGTGAGGAGAGAGAGAGAGTGCGAGAGAGAGAAAAGCAGTAGACCCAGTAACGATTTTCTCGCTTGATTTTTAAATAAAGGTGTTTTTTCGTTGGTAGATTTCTCCAGATGAAAAATTGTGGGCACCCCTGATTTAAGGTTAATGTAAACTATACACTATAATATAACTGTACACTATAATTGTATATAAACTTTAACATGTTCTAGTAATTTAAAAATCATCTGCAATATTTTTGCATCTGCAGCTTTCATTAACAAAAATGCCCAGTGACCCTGCTATGAAGATCCTTGTTCAGGCACTTCCTGTCATAGGGTGACAACGCTCTGTTCCTATCTCCCAATTGTCCTCCTGCGTTGTCATTCTGTCACACAAACTCTCTGCCAATGAAGGCTACAAGCGGCTGTGCTGATGCACATTGGGCAGGTACGGTTCACTGTTGTCACCATCAGCAAATATAATGGATCTACTGGCAGGATCAACAGATAATAAAACTATGTTGCCAAAAAAAACAAAAACTGTTGTGTTAATACTGGTGATAGAATGCAGAATATATGCTATTATCAACTTTGCTTAGTCACATTCTGTGTACACAATGCAGACATATTCTGTATTCTGTACATGCAATCTCTCATATCAACTGCACCTGCAACCTAACTGTGATGACACAACCTTAGATTTGGTCACGCCCATTTTTTGTGACATCACTGTGAAGCCGCCTACAAAAGCATCCGTCTTTTATATTTTACCAAATAATTGGGGTGATAATAAATGTTTCATAACATTTAATAGGGAAATAGTGTT